TACGGAAGATGAAAATGAAGTAAATTCTGTTGATCTTGAATAAATATTGCTATTTTCTTTTTTTTTGTTTGTATTCTTGCTGTGTTCATCCGCTACTAAGCCATTTTCAGACTGGGTATCCCATCCGACTGCCTGAGTCTATTTGAAAATGTTATATTTTTTCAGTTTTCATATGTTTTCACAAATACAACAGGCATGATTCGTACTTGAATAGCTTTCACCACCTGTTAACAAAGCATGAAAATGAACATTTAAGAGTATAGCCTGCCTGATAACTTTGTTACTGATTTATACTTTATTACTTGGTGGAATTCAAGAGGCATTTTCTAATACTGTATAACATTGAGTAGCATCAGTTATAAAAACATGTATTACGTCTCATAGATGCAACATCGATTCATGGCAAAAAGCAATCGATTCCTAACGCTCGGTACGATTCCTTATCGCGAGAAAAATAATTTTCATGCCTCCGAAATCATGCCTGTTTGTACCTTGATTTCATTTTAGACCTTCAAGGCAGAAGCTTTTATTGCTATTTAGAAGGAATATTCGTTTTTTAAGGCTTTATTGTATATGTTATTACAAATGATTTTAAAACTTATCGTAGTTCGTTTTTATACATATTTTTTTCGTTTGGTATAATGTTATTTTCTACCACTACTTTGAAAAACACCTGACAAGTATTTTTTTCTATACCTTGAGAAAATTTTGCGTGTTCAATGAAATAAAAAATAAAGGGTATGGGTGTGGGGTGTCGGGTGTGGGTGGGTGTGTGGTGTGGGTGTGGGGGTGGGGGTGGGGGTGATGGTGCGGGTGTGGGTGTTTGCGGTTAGATTGTTTACCTAAAATATGGATTTAAAACAGTTTATTCTAATATTTTTCTTAAATTTATTTGAGTGCATTTCTTATTTTCTATTAACTCAATTACTTTGTTTTTAGATCTATATATCATCATATAGTGATGATAATAATTCCAATATATCGGCACCAACATTAGATAGTTTATTAAAACATACATTATGTTCATTTGTACGTTCTCAAGTACTTTTTGTTGCCATTCGATTGAATCTACTTACAATGACTGATGAATCTCCAACACGCTCGTTATCAGTGGCGGCGGAGCCTATGAGACCCATGAGGCTGGAGCCTCACCTGGTTTTCAGCAGATGAAGCTCAGCCTCTCTTGATTTAAGACTGAATACTGTTACTTTGTATTATCAGGATTTGTTATGTTAAGTATCTAACACATCCAGATATATTCGGATATATATACATGTATATAACAGAGATGTCCATCGCAGCTGAAAATCTGCCGCTGCCGCGCCGCGATGAATTGTAAAATAAACGTGCCGCGGCGGATTTCAAAGAAGTGTTTCTAATTTCACTGCTGCAACTATATTTGATCACAGATATTGGTACTAGTCCACCAGATTCATTCAGTCTCGGGGTGTTCCATCTGCAAACCCTGAAATTCTATTAAATTCATGCAGTTTTTCAATGTTCTTCAAAATAAATCCTGCCGCTGCCCCGATGGTTTTTTAAAAAGCCTGCCGCGGCAGCGCCGCGATGGACATCTCTGGTATATACAAAGAAAGGATAGATTCTATTGACTTGAGAAGTCTTTGTTCAACTTTTGCATCAAAGAATGAACAAAGAAAATTACGTTTTGATGCTTGCTAATCATTCTTGTTTCATGATGACCGTTTTGGTTTCTACTGAGGGTCAATAAAAAGAAGACTTATATTCTCCTTGATGCTTTGACAAAATTTGATAGCAGACAAAAAAATATTATGAGCCTCACCCGGTCCAATGATGCTCCGCCGCCACTGCTCATTATCAGATGAAGAAATGGATAAATCTAAAAACTCATTAACAATGTTATCATATCTTGTTTATCTTCGTTTACTTAAACAATGTTCAAATTTTAATCGTTATCAATGTACAAATGTAACACGTACATATCTTGTTTCATAACGTCCAAATTATGTTGGTTTAGGCATTGGTGTTTGGGATGATTATCGTTTATATACATTCTTTCTTCGTTTGAATGAAACATTACGATATGGTATAAGAGCTGGTTCGCAGCAGCCCTTCAAAAATATATAGGAATATATAGGAATTGTTAGATCTCAAATATATAGGATCGTCCTCGGATATAGAGGAAATATATAGGACGCTAATATTTCGTTTAAAAACAACTAGACATGTAAAAATCACTACTGCAGAATGGTAGGTGATGTTCTTATAACGTACCTCGGCTCACCTAAATAAAAATACAGCTTTGTTATGAAAAACAGTAGTATGGCAATATTTTATACAAAGACAAAAAGAAATAATTTATGTTCGGTTAACCTTCAACTATTTCACAGCTACATGCAAGGAGAAAACAGGTGAAATCAGATTATTTTTGTTGACTTTTTTGATTTTCCTCTTGATTTTTCTAATTTAAAACCAACTGATTTTAAACGAAGAAAATAAGAAAAATCAAAAAAATCAGAAAAATTTTAAAAAATTTAAAAAAATCGGAAAAATCCAAAGAAGCAAAAAAACAGTCAGATTTCAACTGTTTCACTCTCGATTGATATTTTCAAGCTCAAAGATTAATAATTTTACCATTTTCATTGATTTGTCTGATGTTTTTCATTTTCATTTTTGATTTAAATCAAAAAGTCAGTTTTTCCTCCCTTGCCTACATCTCATAAAAATATTATAAAATTGACTGAGATGAAGATCACAAAAATGCTTTCTTTTAATGTAAAGAAAACAATCTATATCTTTTGTCAAGACTATTATAGTTTCTAACAGTCTCAGAGCTATATTATCAAAATGTATACATATTTAAAGCACAGCAAAATAATCGGTTTAGTAACAGATAGTCGATGCATTGGTAAAAGTTTTCTTCGTTTCTGATGCTACTTGAAAATAAACACCACCGTTTCTAGTACTATCAAACATAATAGAATCACTTTCTAGCTGCAACTTTCTTTAAATTTTCTTTTGTCTTATTATCACTTTTTTTGAAATAAAATTCATCACAAATATATAGATTAGCATGTGCTCTTTCACTGTTTATTGCGATAACTACTGACGAAACACATATAAATCTATACATTTGTGTTGAATTTAATTTTTTTAAAAGTGATATTAAGATGGAAAAAAATTTAAAGAAAATATTGCCCTTCGTGCTTTATATTATGTTATGAACGCCGCTGATAATATTTAACCCTTGCAGTACCGGCCTATTTTAAGTACTATATTGACAATATATATTTTCATAAAATATTTTTTTGTTCTCTGGGATACTCCCCTGAGGAAATATGCTATTTTCATATTCGACGCAATAAAAAAATTACTAGAATGACATTTTTTATTCGCAGCAAGTGTCACAAAAAATACGTTTAACAGAATGTTCATCACAAACGAACGCAGAACAAACACTGCATTGAGTTGATGTTTTTTTGTCCTTGGAACGTTCACAAAAGGAACATCTTTTTCGTTTTGCTTGAGCAGAATTGTCATTTATGATTGGTTCTAAAGATTTTCTAAATCAATTTCATCATCATTATCCGATGTTTGACTTTCATGATCTTCTGTTTCCGAACCACTATTTTCATCGTCAAAATAATCGGAATCATTTTCTTCTTCTATGGAACTGGTCATATTCGTAATTGCAATACGACACACAGTTAGATGCAGATTATTTGAGAAAAAACTTTTATATAGAAAAAGAAGGCAAATCGTATATTTGATCTACAACGATATAAGTCATTTTCCTTTATGATTGGATAGCTATAAACCATTCAAAAATCCTTTCAAAAAATCGAAAATTTATACCCATTTAGATAAGTAAATGAATCATTAGAATATCTTTTGAAATTTTTTTTCCTTTCCCTCATATATTTGATAGATACTGAAGACATAGTTTTGTATCAGGGGGTTGAATCGATATGGAAAATAAGTATATCCCCTTTTAGATGAAACGACATAGATGTACTCTTAAGCGATGCCAATAGCTGAAAAAAGCTGAGAAAAAAACAATATTTTTAGCATATTTGTATATTTTTTAGGTTGGGGTCAGAAATGACCCCGGCCGGTACTGCAAGGGTTAAACAACATGCTAGGCATTTATTTGAAGGAAATATGGTTCTTTCCATAATAATCTTTAATTTTTTGAAAAATATAGGAATATAGGAAAAAAGCTCAAAATATAGTCTATTATAGGACTAACTTGAAAAATATAGGAAATATAGGACGACTGCGATGCCAGTATAAGAGCAAGTGAAGAAAGTAATGAAGAATCATGTCTTTGAACAATATTTAAACAAAAACATGGTGCAATGATTTACTTTGCACAAACAATGTCTTCATTTACATGTTGTACAATAAATGAATTATGCGATCATGTTGATTTTTCATCATATTCAACATTACTTGATATCGGTGATTCATTAGGTGAGCTTAGTCGAAAAATTGTTAAACGATATCCACATATTAATGCATTAAGTCTTGATTTACCTAAAGTGACTTGTTATGCTTTATCATGAACGATAGATCATTCAAATGTTCAATATGTAGCTGGTTGGTGATTTTTTTGATGCAAAATGACCAAATGAAATAATTGAAAAAATTCCAATGATTGATCTTGTTTCATTGAAATATATTATTCATGATTGGCCATATAACCGACGAAAATTTTTAATTGAAAGAGTTTATAAATTATTAATATCAGTATAATTGTTCTTTTCTCTCGTGAAAAACAAACAAAAGATTCTTTTCTTTTCAGAATATTAAAAAAAAAGAAACACTGACCATCGTTGTATAAATAAATTAATATCATTATAATGAATTAATATATTTGGTTCTATGATAATTTGCTATGATCAAATTGTTGAAAAATATTTTTTGTATTGTTCATAGATTGTTCAATTTTATTAAGTCTATTAAATAATTCTAATAAACGATTTCGATTTATATTTATATGCATTATCCATTTATCATGTAATTTTTCATAGTTAATCACTTTTTGACGTTGTTCTTTGACAAGTAATGCATATTGTTGTGCGACATGTTCAAGAGTATATGTGATCAACATTCAAAAAAAGATGAAGAAAATACTATAAAGTGAACGCTGAATTTATATGATACTTCACAATAAATATCTTAAAACGTTTGAAAATATCGCGTTAATAATCATGATGGAGCACCTAACTTGCCTATGTTTTATTCTACGAATGATTCAGGATGCATGTAGCACGAACAAAGAACTAAGGTCAGAAGCGCATAAATAGAGAAAAGAATAATCAACACGTATATATGTGTCCGGCAGATGTTCTCAATCACGGATGTAATGGGGATGACGCACAAAGGCCGTCGCAATAATGTTAGATGATCAACAGAGGTGAAACTCCTAATTTGATCTCCTTTTTTGTTGTTCATTTCATTTTCCTTTAACAAGTTGGTTTAAAACTTACAGATGAACATAATCTATCGATAGCTTTTTATCATTGTTACATTTTTTTTTATTTTTGAGTTTATCAGACTCAAACAATGATAACCTGTGATGAAAAATAGGTTTTATAATATTTCTATGAATTTTCAATGCTTACTTGATTTATTCGATTTTATTTAAAGTATAATAGACATAGAAGTATGATACAATCAAAAGCAAATAACTGCTAATCTGACGAATTGACAAAATTGATCATGTTTCAACCAAAAACGTCCATGGGAAAGAGCACAGAAACGAACGTGATACCTTTTTTTAAATGGGAAACGAAAAATTATTGAGAATTCGAATACAATCTGCCTATCGAAAGGCACGAATAAGCTTCGTATCGTAATCTTTCACCTTAGCTCTCATCGCTTGAATATGAATATTCATTCTATTCAATAGTACTATACGTGCTCCTTTAGCTTTCTATGGAGACGCATTCTGCAATTTTGTATGTAGAAAATATTTCATCGAGAAAGTCTTGTTAAACTTAATCCATTTTAACAGTTAAGTGGTCAGTAAATACTTGAAAGCATACAGACATAAATTGACCACCTTTAATACGCAGTAAACTTCATTTAATCAAAATTGTCTCGATTCACGGTTGGTTCAATACAAAATGCATAATCAATATAAATGGTTCAAAAAAAAATTCACTATATAATCATTTCTTCGAAATCAATTAACGCATTTTTCCTTCTGTTCTGGATCCCAACCTATGAAATTAATGTAAGAAATAACAATAATTTCTATTTTATTTCCTTTTGCACATAGTTTTAGACAAACAAAATATTTGCTCTATTCGATTACAACATAACATTGCGAACACATGATGAAAAAAAATGCAACAAGCAAAATATTTACATGCATTCGACAGCGTCAGGTTATTCATTGGAGTCTTCGAAGCGAGAGAGGTGCACAGGTGAAGAACGAACAAGCGAAAAGTAACAACAACAATAACATCAACAAACAAGTCACACGGCTGTTAAATACGAGCCAATAACACTCGATCATTATTTGGATGACAATTTGGCATTAATCAAGAATACGAATGTGTGGAAGAAATATAAATGTGGTGCACAACATAAAGATGATGTGTGCTATGTTTAGAAGCCGTCAGGTAATTCTATTTGTTGGGTTAAATTGGTAGCGTATGTCGAAAATAGTTCGTTGGTGAATATTGATGCTATGCTCGATGCTAGTCTCAAACAACGTCATTCCGAATGGAATGAACTGTATATCGACGGTCAAATCAAACGCAAGAATAACGATGATAGCAGTGAAATTTGTAGCTTTTAGCAAGATATTATGAAAAGAAAAAATCTTCATCGAACAGCATCAAAATTTTGATTTTTTTTAGATATGCATCTCTATTGATTCTAATTGCTCCTCGTGACACATATTACATCAAAATACAACGTAATCTTGTCAATGGATTCATTCTTAGTTATCCATTTATCGATCTACCAGAGGTGACATAGGCAAGTGGTAAATTTGTATGAACAATCTTCAAAGATGCACGTATCATCGAAACAACCAACAAAGACAATCGCTTTCTTCACACATATTTACAATATGCTGAATTCTGGTGGTTGTATCACAAAAATATTCGCCAATCGACCTCAATGTAATACTATTCTTCACGCAATTAAGGATTTTCGGAGAGTCATGAAGAATCCGATACGTTCAAATCAATAAAATTAGAGTTTCAAACTTAATCTGTTATTTGCTTGGCAGATGCTAATTCGAATTCGATTTAACCGACAATATCTCCTACTTTTTATCATCTTTGACGCGTGTATTTACAGGTATCACTTGTCATGACCCTAACAATAGTTCACTTCTTTTTAGATATGAGTGATGTCAAAGATTGTATTATTGAATTTTTCTTCTGTAATTTACATTCGCCGTATTAGTTCTTCAAGCTGACGTATATGTAAAATAGCGATGAAATATTAACCTTAAAAATAATTACTGCTTCTATTAACGAATAAAGGAAGATCTGTTTCATTCTATCATCTTTTCCGAAATAACTGTTCGCCAATGACAACTTCTAACAAATATCCACATACCTTACCCGAAAAGGTTTTTTTCAATGACTTATGAATCATAGACATCACTACATCGAAAGGGATAGGTTAGCACGCGGTGTCAGTATTATAACCTCACCTTCATCTGCCATAAACCAATTATCACCAAACTCATTACCAATAGTCCAATACGAAAAATGCTAAGAATCACAATTTTCACATACATAGAGCAAATCATCATACATTATAGTGATGTCAATCACCAATGTCTAGTCGCTAGAAATTATGATCAGAGTTCTTCTAGTTCAAGTTATAATTCTTAGGATTTGAAACGTCGTAAGATTTCGCAAGAAACACGAAAGTTTCTATATAAGATGCAGTAAAGTAATTCTTCTGCTATCGAGGGCACGAAATATAGCAGCAAATAAATAAAATCGAGAGCATACCATTTCATTTTTCAATTTGACCTAGCTTTAAAATCTATATTGATTCATCTAAACAGTCATTTGAACACCATGTTCCTAACCTTATATCTCTGTTACATCGGGCGTCTTCAATAAATATGCACAACTCATGCATATTCGAGATCATTCTGTAACAATGAGCAAATGGTTTTAGTCAGTTCGAGCTCGAATTAAGGTGAAGAAAACGTTATTTTTTCGTTAATTCACAGAAGAGTTTCTATCCAAATCTTTCTAATTACTTTCGGATTGATCCTACTTTCCCTGACCTTCATTTATATTCGAACTCGAATCAGACAACTTATGGGTCGGATGGCAGTTTCAAATTCAAGACAGATATAGCAAGAAAAATTTCTCCAGAAAATCATTCATTTATTATTAAAACACAATGTATTATTAACATTATTTAACTTTCATCATTATTTTAACAGTCGATTTTATTTAAATACTTTGTTATATTCCTAAAATAAAACATGGAGAAGAAAAATGAAAAGAATCATCATCTAAACGGATGTGGCAGAATAAATAGCCGTCTCAGTATTTTTCCAATATCTGAACATTTTCTCATCTTTTCGAAATAAACTTTTTGTTAATGAAAACATGCTTCATGGGTTTTTGATACACAACACAAATGATTACTTGAAAACTTACAACTTTTCAAGTTAGTTTTGTTTTGAAAAACTTATTATCATACTTTTTTGATTGTTCAGGATATGTTACTTTGGTTGTTAATCAATATTTATTTGTGACTTGAAGATTTTATTCTCAAATTTAATAATATAATCAAATGATACATTGATTGTTCAAAGAGTAATGATTCCTATTAAGTCAAGACAGAAAATTCATAACACCAATATTGAACTTACTGATATCATGTGACTGTATACTCTCATGTATAAATCTTTAGCCATGGTTTAAGATCTTATGCTTATCATTTATGGCAGTGAAGGTGTTTCTATGATTTAACAAATATGAAACCAATGGAATTCTTATGAAAAAGTGAAAATTTCAGCAATGCGATGCGAAGTCTAAAATCATCATTGAATTCAATATTGTTCTTATGAATTTTCTGTTTTGTATTAATAAGAATCCTTGGTCTTTGAATAATCAATATATTAATTGATAATATTATTCAATTTGAATAAAGTTTTCAACTAATGAATAGAAATTGATTAGGACGAGGTGTGTTTTGAGCACCAAAAAAAAAGAGACAATTGAGCATCAAATAAAAAAACAAATAAGAACAATAGACAAGTTATTAATTAATATATCTAAAGTCAATGATGCTTATAGTGTATATGTATCAAGCTGCCACATTCTATTAACGTTATTCAATCAAGATTAATCTAATGAGAATTTGTGAGTCACGCCAAACAAACGACTCATTTTTTCATACATAATAGATTTGTTACTATTGGCATCATAGTCAAGTTTTATGTCAAAACAGTTTCACCCTCAACCAAATCCATACCCTAATTCTAGCCTTTACTGTTACCCTCATTCTCATCCTTCTTTCACCCTCACTCCCACGAACACCCGCATCCTTACCTTCATTCATACCAGCATCCTCATTCTCGCCCTCAAAAAGTTCGATCTGCTTTGTTGTTATGAATTTACTGTTCTTCTTTATGACTCTACTTTTTATTGATCTTCAATGTATTCATTATTTATGTGTTGTTATTTATTTGTCAGAATACTATTTTTTTTTCTTGTTTAACATATAATTAATTTGACGCTCAAAAAACATTTTTTTCCAATTGATTAACAAGCAAACTAACATGCTCGGCGCATGGCAACGTTGTCCACACACCAAAGGTTGCTTTAAGTTCATCACGTGTAGAAGCAGGATGTATATTCGATGTGCATAGCATGAATTCAGACTCACTTCACACGACCCTTATACAGATGATACATAGTTCTAGCGGAAAAGTCAGAAAAATATACGATTTTTTTAAACTGAGTTCTTGTTTTAGTTGATAAAAGCAATCTCATATTATGCTGGATCATTAAATTATTTGTAAATATACACTATTCATTTATTTGTTTTTTTTTTCTTCAGAAATTCTATATAATTGGACGTAAAATCTTTTATTAATCATTTCAGTTTGAATATAAAAAAATCAAATACAAACATGGTAAGTTAAAAACAAAAATCTATTGAATAAAATAAAATAAATTCAGGTTAACTTTACTGTTGATGAAATTCGTGCTTTGATGGAGAAAAAGAAAAATATTCGAAATATGTCTGTTATTGCACATATTGATCATGGAAAATCGACATTAACAGATTTACTTGTGTGTAAAGCTGGTATTATTATTCCTCAAGAAGAAACTACTAATATGCCTTTGACAGATATACGAAAAGATGAACAAGAACGATGTATGACAATAAAATCGACGTAGGATGAATTTTTTTTCCTGGTTGTATAAATGAAAATAATGGATTTATTTCTAGAGCCTTTTCACTTTATTATGAGTTACCTGCTAAAGATTTCGCATTTATTAAACAAGAACGTGAATCTGATATATCTTACTTTTTAATCAATCTTATTGATTCACCAGGTCACATAGACTTTTTATCGGAAGTTGCGGCAGCTTTACATGTTACCGATGGTGCTCTGGTCGTTGTTGATTGTATTTCAGGTATATGATTATTATTAAATTTTAAAAAAGACAAAAATCATGTTTTTTGTCAAATAAAGGTGTCTGTATACAAACTGAAACTGTTCTTCGTCAATCTATCGTTGAACGTATTAAACCAATTTTATTTCTGAATAAAATGGATCGTGCTTTACTTGAATTACAACTTGAACAAGAAGATCTTTTTCAAACATTTCAAAGTATTGTTGAAAATGTCAATGTTATCATTGCTACTTATGGTGATGATAATGGTTCCATGGGTGATTTACAAGTAAGAATTAACAAATATTAGTTTCTCTCGAGAATGACAAGTTCATAGGCCAATCAAATATGTTTTCTTTTAATGCGCATACGGTGATTAAACTGTGCTGATAATAAAAAGTTTCCTCATAAATGAAGATGTAAGACGATTTTGTATCGTAAAAGATAAGATCAGATGTTGGAACAAATAATTGTTTTTATTTTTTGATTTGATAAAATAATTATTTTTTGTTAGGTTGATCCAACAAAAGGTACAGTTGGTTTTGGTGCTGGTCTTCATGGTTGGGCATTTACATTGAAAGAATTTGCTGAAATGTATGCTTCAAAATTTAAAATTGAAGTTGAGAAATTAATGAAACGTTTATGGGGTGATAATTTCTTTTCATCATCCGAAAAGAAATGGTCAAAAACTAGAGGAGAAGATTTTGTTCGTGGGTTTTGTCATTTTGTTCTTGATCCAATATATAAAGTCTTTAAAGCTATTATGGGTAGTAAAAAAGATGACTATACACAATTACTTGAAAAATTAAATATTAAATTACAAGATGAAGATCGAGATAAATTAGAAGAAGGTGGTCAACCATTATTAAAACTTGTTATGAAACAATGGTTACCAGCTGGTGATGTTCTTCTTACCATGACTGTTATTCATTTACCATCACCTGTTTTGGCACAAAAATATCGTGCTGAATTTCTTTATGAAGGTATATTGATAGAGAACAAAACAAACGATCAATTAGTTTTTGTTTAGGTCCACAAGATGATGAAGCATTTTTGGGTATTAAAAATTGTGACCCAAATGGTCCATTGATGATGTATATCTCGAAAATGGTTCCAACATCAGATAAAGGTCGTTTTTATGCTTTTGGTCGAGTCTTTTCCGGTGTAGTTCAAACAGGTCAAAAAGCACGTATTATGGGTCCTAATTATGTTCCAGGCAAAAAAGAAGATCTTTATGTTAAAAGTATTCAACGGTATGTAAATATGTGGAAATATGATGATATCAGGATTCCCATCCGAATTTTCTATTGATGGAATATATCTCAAATATGATTTTCACCATTAAATATCTCAAGACTTCTTATGATTTGGCTTTTTTTGTAGAACAATTCTTATAATGGGTCGTTATATTGAACCAATTGAAGATGTACCATGTGGTAATATTTGTGGTCTTGTCGGTGTTGATCAGTATTTAGTTAAAACCGGTACAATTACAACATTTGAAAATGCATATAATCTGCATGTAGGTAGTTTTGTTTTCGTCTTAGGAAAAGGTAGATATATTTTAAAATGTTGTAGGTGATGAAATTTAGTGTTAGTCCTGTAGTACGTGTTGCTGTTGAACCAAAAAATCCAGCTGATTTACCAAAATTAGTCGAAGGTCTGAAACGTTTAGAGAAATCAGATCCTATGGTTCAAGTAAGTCATTCGGATTTAGTAAATTTGATTTTTATTTATTTAATTTTTTCAGTGTATCATCGAAGAATCGGGTGAACATATCGTAGGTGGTGCTGGTGAATTACATTTAGAAATTTGTTTAAAAGATCTTGAAGAAGATTATGCTTGTATTCCAATTAAAGTTTCTGATCCAGTTGTATCCTATCGTGAAACAGTATCGGAAATATCAGATAGAATGTGTTTATCAAAATCACCTAATAAACATAATCGTATCTTTTTAAAAGCTCAACCAATGCCTGATGGTGAGACTAATATTATTTAATTATTGAATTTAAAAAATTTGTTTTTGTTTTAGGCTTACCAGAAGATATTGATAAAGGTGAAATAACACCACGTCAAGAATTTAAAGCACGTGCTCGTTATTTAAATGAAAAATATGATTATGATGTAAATGAAGCACGCAAAATTTGGTGTTTTGGACCTGAAGGAACGGGACCAAATCTCTTAATAGATTGTACTAAAGGTGTACAATATTTAAATGAAATAAAAGATTCTTGTGTTGTTGCTTTTCAATGCGCTACAAAAGAAGGTATACTTGCTGAAGAAAATGTTCGTGGTGTTCGTTTTGATATTCATGATGTTACAATGAATTCGGATGCTATTCATCGCGGCGGTGGACAGTGGATTCCGACTGTTCGTCGTGTAATTTATGCATCAATGCTTACAGCTAAACCACGTCTTTTTGAACCAGTTTATTTATGTGAAATCCAAGTATGTTGAAAAAAAAACAAACAAGAATTTTTTATTTAATAATTTTTTAATTAATGAATTTAGTGTCCGAAAGTTGCTGTTGGTGATATTTATGGTATACTGAATTGTCGTCGTGGTTATGTATTTGAAGAACATCAAGTAGTTGGAACATCAATGTTTATTGTTAAAGCTTATTTACCTGTTAATGAATCATTTGGTAAAAATTATAAAAAAAAAATTATTTTAAAATTCTGATTTTTGTTTCTTGTTAGGTTTTTCTGCTAATCTTCGTTCCAATACAGATGATCAAGCATCTTCACAATGTGTATTTGATCATTGGCAAATAATGGATCAAGATCCATTTGACGAAACATCTAAAGCTCGACAAATTATAAATGATATTCGAAAACGTAAAGGATTAAAAGAAGGTATTCCACCATTAGATGATTATTGTGACAAATTATAAACGAAATACCATCTAGTATTTATTATCTATTCACAAACAGTATAATGTTTTTCACATCTGTTTTGTTTTTTTTAGAAATTAAAACAGATTGAATAAGATTTTTATATTGACTTAATTGGGGATGTCGACTTCATATTAATCTTTAAAAAAATGCTAAGACTCTTCTATTATAATTACAAATATAATTTAATAGATTATCATTAGTATTGAACTGCTATTAGCGTAACTCAAACACTTTCCTAGCGACAATCTTTGATATTTCCGAGCTAGATGCTTGACAGATCCGATAAAGGGTGTGGGTGTAGGTGTAAATGTGAAAATTATTTCTTCATCCACACCTACACCACACCCACACACACCCACGTAGAAGTCTGAAATGGACCACATTATCTTTGCAATCAAAGTAAGTCTTCTCTTATCGAATCAAAGAGAATATTGTCGAATGGATTATTTCGAGATGTTCTGTCAAAGTAAAAATGCATGAGCTCCTCTCAAATTTTGCCTTCATTTGAACTTGTTATGTCGACATATCTTGTGAAAGCTATTAAAGACAAAATTTCTATAGATCACATTAGATACGACTGTTTTTCTACAAAGTGCTTTTTGACTCATACTGTTCGTTATAGTTGCTAAAATCCATTTCTCCATCTTTTTTGAAATTAAATTCTCATTTGAACTCTTTTCGTTTTATGATATAAGATTCTCTCGTCTAAACAGATTCTCTGACAGATTAAAGATCATATGATATTGCTTGCATGTTTTACAGACTATATATGTCGAGCAGTTTTTTTGTACACTAACGACATGAGTTATTAATATTTGAATAGTCTCATACAGAATACTTCGAAATCTTTTCCTCAAGTTGTATCGGTATTATGCATTCATTGTAAAATACTAATGTTGAGTTTATACTAACCATCGTTTTGAATATCGCCAGAGACGATTGTATAAAATATAGATCAGATTTTAATCGAATGCTACTAGAGACACTACTTGATAGTCTTTGATTCTCGAAAGAACATTGAAGATGCCTTACCGATCAAGTCCATATCGTATCTGCTCATTTGTGAATATAAAAACCAAATTTAAAAATTATTTAACTAATTTCAATAATTTTATAAATGCAAATGGTTAAAATAGACACCAATGCAAAGTTTGATATTCTTATTTTTCAAATTTCGGAAAATTTAATCATAAAAATGTTACAACTCATACATTTAATTTTACTTGCATTCATTGAAATTTAATGAAGTTCTCTAGACATCACCTCTACTCTGCATGCCACAAGCTTTTTTTTCTCCAACTTGAACATACCAGCTGATTATCTTTGTAGCAACTCTAGTGAAAATACTTATCGCATGAATACTGGAACTTTTTATGTGTACGAATGATGTTTATATACTCTCAAGGTTACTCATACGAATGTTTCTCTGATATATATTCAAGAACAATGACGTGAGTCTTCCATGTAGTACTTGTATTTGTTTTTTCACAGAATATTTAGCAAAACATAAATGCACTCGCATATATAAAAATATATTGAAGTTATGTAGTATAAAATGGAACGATATAACTGAAAATATGAATAAACTATTTTAACGACTTATTTTGTTTATCCTGTGTTCGTTGCTAATGAGTCATTGATACGATCATGTTAAATGTTACCGTGAAATATAAAAAATGGACAACTACTATTCACTTGATGGGTTAGATTGAATACTTACCTTGAATATATTAATAGGAATTCGTGCAAATTTGATTTTTTAAATATAGATGATAATTAATGTATTAAAGTGTGATGAAACAAAAGAAACTAACAACTCTTCTTACTAATCGTTTGCAATTTTTAAAGTATGAAGACAAACAATATTATAGATACATAGCTTCATATGTTTTTTCATAATTTATTAAAAGACAATAGATAGTTATGAATTTAAAAGCTTCTATTTGTTTGTTTTTGTGCGACAAACAACACTACATGGTTATTTGTAATGGAACTTCTCTATTTTACAGAATAGTTATTTTTTTCATTTTTTGTTTCCGTTTATTTTATTTGATTCAATCTCTGTTTTAGTGTATTCCTGCCTTATGAAATAGAGATAAAGAAATCTTCGTCGTTAGTGAAAAAAGTACAATATTTCTTTATTTTGATATCATAATAAAAAGAGATTTTTCATTATTACAAGATCAAACAATAAAAACTAGCTATAAAATTGTAGGATAGAAATCATTGCTCATTAAACAGTATTAGTGATCATAGGGTTGGACCATTCCTTGTTCGTTGTATATTTGCTTGAAAAGTAGTTCCCTTTACTCTCTTTTAAAAGTTTCTCCTACTCTATGACTTGATGCATAAATAAATAAAATCTTAACTTTATTATGTAAAATTGAAGAATTATTTCACTTACTTCTCTAACAATCAAAATTTCATTCGATCTATTATTTGTTTTAAAAAGTGTCAAGATAAAGTGATCACTGTAGTTCTCATATTCATTATTTCCTCAAATTTTCATCATGTACTTCTAGATGTTTTCTTATTTCATTATAGATGTAGATTAAAAAAAATGTAATACGATAACATTGAATAGAATATAGTCTGTTCGATTTGCTTTTTCAAACAAACTTTTCAATTTTTAACCAGACAGTTCAACATATGTTTTCACTCAAATGAATTGATAATTTACAAATATAATTCGACTATCTGTTATTTTTGTTATTCTATAGATGAATGTTTATTTGGAGAATAAATTCAAGTTTAGTCATATGAAACTTGTATATCTTATTTGAAATGCGCCATATCAACTGATCAATTGAGAAGTAAAAATGAAATGATGCATACATTTTATCTGTACTTCATCTTGTTATTTACTATGCAAATCAAGAGAATGGTAATTGATGTATTTTCACATCATAGAGATTTTTTCTTCAAGTGTTATTAGCTACGTTTCATGCACAAACATGATTTATCAATATCAATTATCTAGAATGAATAGCAAAAGTTAATTATCAAGGTAATTGTTCATGCCAATTAGATGATTCTAATAATAAAATGATTGCAAAACAAGTCAAAGCAGTTGTGAAAGAAAAATTATAACTTTTTCGAAATATCAGAGATTTTCGATATCATCTACATAGAATATTGGTTCGAAGATAAAAAAAAGAATAAGAAGCAGAAACAGATGAAGAATCTGAAAAAAATAAACGACTATAATAATATCCACATCCACTTTAAAAATCATAAATATGGACAAAGAAACGAAGCAATGATACATATTCAATTTATATAGCTATGAATAGTTATTATATTTTAATTTTTCTTCCATACACTCGTTTTTTGTAAAACTTCATGATTCAATATAAGTTTCATAAATTTTCTTATAAGGACTGAAGAAAAAACAACTTTGATCATTTTCGTGTTATTGTGATAGTCTTGGAAAAAAACGAAGTTTTTTTAATTACAACTATCTATTCTCCATTTTATTTCAATAATGTTCAATATATAATTTATTAACTGCTTGAAATATACAGGTTCTCATATCAAGTTAATGTTCAATTAAACTTCATAAATATAAACACTTTCAATTAATAACAATAACAATCTCTGTAATTTTATTTCTTTTGCAACACATTTTTTTCTCATATTTTCTTACCATCAATTATATCAGTTAAAAAATATGTTTTTCATTCGATCGATTAAAGAATATAAGGTAAATGTATTGATAAAAAATAAAAAAAAGCATAAGAAGAAATGTGCTTATTTTTTTATGTAAAAATGATTGTATGTTTTTTCTTTTTGAATTTTTTCATGCATAATAATAAAAATAAGATGAATATGATACATAATGATACATCGTTTTTGTATAAATACTGTAGTTAAATATTTTCTTATTTCTAATTATTTTACACATATTCGTATCATTTATAATAAAAAAAAACAAATTACATAGCAAAACATTAACTTTTAATTAATTTCTGTCGAACCAATATCAAATTGAAAAATACCACATCATCATTATGAAACGTAAATAAGGATTCATCAGAAAAAATAATATAAAAACAAAAAATCTCCGTTTTAGTGAAGGTTCTTCTTATCACAGTAAATCTCAGCCCTATGTAACCGGTGTTTCAGGTGTCGAAGTAAAAATGAATGTTTTCTAGATGAAATTCTCACTTAAGTTAGATGGTTTCCTTTTTTTTCTAAAATGAATGTATCTTTGATGGCCTTGGAAAAAAGTCTTTTCACTTGTCTATTGCATACTATGTTGTACTAAAAGATGCCTCATATTATCAGTGAGTCTATTTGCATACATAACCAGTACATGACATTCCTAAAAGAGTCCTCTCAAATATCTTTAGTCAAAATAGATAAAAGAAAATAATTGAAATGAAGTCAAAACGACATGTGCGTGAAGTAAAAAATGATGTCCCTGACAAAATTTGATATGATTCTTTTCTCTTCTTTGTTCTTTCGCAAATCTATCTTGAAGTTTTGAGTGAGTATTTGTAAAAAGAAACTATGCATTCATACCTCTGTAAAACCTCAATATAGATAATGATATGTCTTATAACTATTGTTACTTGAGAAAATTTCCATTTTTTCTGCTTGTTCTAGAAAAAAGTCGACACAGTTTACTTTTCTGGTTCTTCAGCGGATCGACTTGTATCAGCAAACCATAGAAGAACAAGGACGAAAAAGTTTTAGAACACTAAATGAACATAATCTTGTATTCATCTGTAATCAACTTATTTTGGTATCCAACCGACAAATTTAGTTCAAAGTTCGCTATACATAACTGAAAAACTTTTCTCTCATTCCTCAGAAAAACAACGGTGGAAATTGACTGATTTTGATATCATTGAAACTACTTTTTCTATTGAAGAATGTCACTAAATGCTATTTTCTCACCCTGATATGTTAGTGAGGAGTGACAATATTAATGTAATCGATTGCACAATTCACCAAAAAGTGTATTTATCAGCGAAATCAGTTGATTTCAATA